AATCGTACGTCACGACATTCGCTGCAAAGCTGATGTACTGTGCGTTGATATACTACCCCAATACGAACACTCCCTCTTCGATTTGTTATAGAATACCGCCCTCCCGATTTTCTGATCAGTGATGACGAGAATCTCATTGAGTTGCTTGCCACCTTCATAAGTACTGAACGTGAAACTGTGATTCTGTTCAATTTCAACTTACCAGTAGACTGGAAAAACATGATTTCTATTGGTTCTAACTCTGCCAAGTTTTTAAATTTCTTTCGCAACTCAGGTTTTGATCAGGTGGTATGGGAAACCCATGAAAACCAGATCCTTGATCTTATTCTCACTACTACCCCTTCTATTACAAACGTGTCACTGATGCCTCCTTTGTCAAGCTCTGACCATTGTATTGTGAACTTCCATATACAGGGGTTTTACTCTACCTTCATATCACCACCCATGCCGGATTACCATAACGCTAACTACGCTTCTCTTGATAACAGCCTCCATAACGTTGATTGGTTCACGGTTTTCGATGGCTATGATTCGATGTCCGACCTGTATCGCAGGTTTTGTACGCTCATCTATCAATATTTATCTGCTCATGTGCCCTTCAAAACGCCGCATAGACATAGCATTCGATACCCCCTACACATTCGAAACTTACTCGCTCAGAAGCAGCGCATTTTTCTTGCGTCTTCAGATTTTTTGAGAAGTCCACTGTATAGAAAAGTTTGTGCTGACATTGATCTGCATCTAAAGAATTTTGGGACAACTATGAACGACGGCTAGCCAAGCGTGCTTCTATGAAGAATCTTCACCAATATATCCGTCACAAAATGAAAATGATAGGAAGTTCAGGCTCTATTGTTGATATGAATGGAGTAACATGCACTTCCGAAACTGATAAAGCTACCGCACTTGGCAATTTTTTGCCAGTGTCTTCACCAAAGATGCTGACCCTGCGTTCTTACAAACAAATTTCGAACTTATTCAATGCCGTTGCAATGACTTCTACTTTACTCCCGATGAGATTTTTAGCGTTCTGAAGAGATTGAAACCCTCTACCAGTGAACCGTACGATGGAATACCTCCTATAGTTTATAAGAAATGCGCTCGCTCGCTTTCGCGACCGCTTGCTCATTTATTCAACGCATCATTCATGCTGGGCGAGGTTCCTGAGATCTGGAAGGATGCGCTAGTCACAGGGATTCCAAAGGTTGATGGAGCCGTCTTGGTATCGGACTTCCGCCCAATTAGTATTACTCCAACACCTGTCAAAGTGATGGAAAAGATTATTCGAAAGAGAATTCTTGATTGGTTACTAAAAAAAGCTTATTCCACACGAGCAGCACGGTTTCCTTCCGGGGCTATCGACTGTAACAAACCTTGTTGACAGCTTTTATGACTGGAATCTAGCATTGAACCATGGTAAGTCAATCGACATTATCTACGTTGACCTATCCAAAGCATTTGACAAGGCGAATCACGCAAAACTACTTCTTACTAGGGAAGGTCGTCAGGTCGAAGTGGCCATTTGTAATGAGATGTAGCTCACTAGACGTGGTTTTGGACGCTGATCTCGAATCTGCCTTTGAAATTTGCAGAACGATTCTCTGAACGGAGTTATGGAGCTTTTTCCACCGCGTTTACCACGCAACAGGTCGTGGGATCGGATCCCTGCTGAGCTTAACTTTTTTGCTTCTTGTGCAAACGTGGCAAAAAGTGGTTGTAGCGTCACTACTACATTAGCGCTCTCCTTGACTTGCCTGAAAAACAGTTTGCGTTCGCTTACTGGCGCGCTTAGTGCCTTATGATCTAGGAGATGTACAGGTGCCCTTGGCGCGAGTGCAGGCGTTTTCGCGCTGAGCGAGTGCCATGTTCGAGTTTATCGGAGCCTAGGTAGAAGTTTTTAGCCAAATCTTCATTTTGACCTGACTTCGAAAGTGAAGCATCCATGGGTTAGTTCAATTGATGTTAACACCTATTCAGCTGCAGATACATTCTCCTGCACAAAGCCTCGTCTCCTCTCTTCTTACGCATTCATTTTATTACTGCTCCAGTTTTCCTGGTATCTAAAAGCAAATTCTGTCCAAAGACAAGCAATCGACAAGAGACTGGCCCTGGAACTATTGGTGACCATCATTCGATCAACTGCTACCGCACTTTTCATAGTTAGGTCAAAACCTCACATCTGGCTAGAAACCTGTCCCCAAGGGTAGTTTTGCTCCCTGAACACGAATATGGCACCCATTTGGCGTTTGAGTGTTTTCTAGACTTAAAAGAGACATTCCCCACAAAATGCAAAACAAGTTCCCTTCCAGAAATCCGAACCCTTCATAGCATGCCCGCGAAGCAAGACCATTACCACTACACCATGCCGCCGTTGATCGTATGGTGCTTCCCGGCTATTCATGCGTGGCCGGCAACCGCGCTCGACTCTGTTTCCTTCATTTTAATTCTAACAAACCTTCATAATTCCGTTCAGAGAATCGTTCTGCAAATTTCGAAGGCAGATTCGAGATCAGCGTCCAAAACCACGTCTAGTGAGCTACATCTCATTACAAATGGCCACTTCGACCTGACGACCTTCCCTAGTTATGCAATCTCTTGGGATTGCGGGAAAAGTCTTAAAGTGGTTGAGATCCTATTTATCTGAACGACATATGACTGTCAAAGTGGGGCGAAGGTTTTCTGACCGATTTCACTGCACTAGTGGCGTACCCCAAGGCGGAGTTCTATCTCCTCTACTTTTTGTGATCTATACCTTGGATTTGCCGTCCTACCTCAAAACATCTGAAAATGTAAGAGTGCAAATGTATGCTGATGATATTAAAATATATGGTATCTTCAACGATGATAACTGTAACGAGGTTCACTCAGCTCTTAAACGTTCGATTGAAAACTTGAAATCTTGGGGCACACACTGGGATATCGATGCGTTTGTACTGCCTATAGGTAAAGCCTACTCTACACAATATACAATCAATGATGTGAAGATGAAAAGCTGCGAACTCTCTAAAGATCTTGGAGTTTTGGTTGACACGAATCTGAAATTATCTGGACACATCGAACATATAGTAAACAAGGCATATGCTACCCTTTTCGCAGTTTTTCGTAATACCTATACCACTGATGTAACCACTCTGGTACGCCTTTACAAGACATATGTACTGCCGCATCTTGAGTATTGTTCTCAGATTTGGAATCCCACACGTAAAAAGCAAATCATCAAGCTAGAAAAGGTACAGAAGTTGTTTACAAGGACTGCTGTTCCATCGTGCTTTCCAATGTCACAACTCAATGCCAAGTTATAACGAACGTTTAAGACAATTAGGCTTAAAGACGCTTAAATACAGACGGACAATTGCGGACCTTGTTTTTGTTTTCGCCTTCTACGCATGGAGACTAATCTGTCTCCAAGTAAGTACTGGGTGTTCAGGCCAAGTCACGAAAGAAGAGGCGGATTCAACTTACATTACCCTCGGATTCAAAAGAAAAATCAGACTCAATTATATAATTTTGTGCTCTACCGTGGTGCGAGGTGGTTACAACGTTTACCCACTGAAATTCTGTCGTCTGGTGACAGCCATAGTTTTAGAAAAAAATTGATAAAGATCAACCTATTACAGCTTCTCGGGTTGGATGACTCATTTTAGTCTCGAACATCTACCTTTTTTTCAGTACATTTGAAGTTCTTGCTGTGTGCAGTACGTTTCCCAAGAATTTCGGTATTTTCTTCGTGGAATCGAAGGCATAAATCGAGTTATCATTGATATTTTTGTCACCATATCTGTAAGAAGGAGGCACACTGGCTATCTAAACTGAATCCTGAGTGTTTTTTTCTTGAATTGATTACATTGATCACTTGTTCCACTGTAGTCTGATGATCCTCAAATGTGTCTAAAGTAATTGTTATCCTCAATGGTTTTCGAGCAGATGAAACCCTCTGCTTGAGGTCCCTCGCCTGTTCGCCTGGGGTCCTGAACGGATGCGTTCGTTCGGGTTAAACCGTCAGCGGGCCCCAGTATTACGACAATCTTGCGTTCTAGGTGAAGGTCGATCTCGCAGTGGGCCTCATCAACTGTCAAGGGGAGGACTATATTACAAGTGTTCAATTATAATCTTCACTTATAACCTTTTTTCTCTTCTCAGGAAGTAGTATGAATAGCGTGTGCTCCTTCTCTCTGTCTTAGTGTTTAGTTGAAATATTAAGTTTCAGCGAGTTTATTATAGTGTAGCAATTTGTGGCACACCTTATGGTGTAAATAAATAAATAAATAAATAAATAAATAAATAAATGCTAAAGCCGCCAGTTTCCCCACTGGAAAGATAAAATGGAAATGAGATGTTTAGTCGGTGCGTCTACTGAAGAGCGTCATCGCATGGATAAGGGAAAATTGCAGAGAAATCTTTTGAGTAGTCAATGACTAGTAAACTGTAGCTCACCTTACATGCCTCTTTGGCAGTTCTGTACCAAAAGTCCGTCTCAGGGTATTCGTCACACAGTTTCTGCTCGTCGATTTCGTTCACTTTGGTGACATTCACTACTCCTAAAATTATATAACAGATGGATGACACTGGAAAGCAATGTGCAATACAAAGCATAGAAAAGTTGGACCCCCTTTTGTGAGTAAGGTTGGTAAGAAAATTTCGCCAATATTGTTTACTCTGTATTATTCAGTTTAATAGGTTCTAATAGTTTAGTAGTTTAATTTAATAAACTACTAGTTTAATTTAGTAGTCTAATAGTTTAATAGTTTAATTGATCGCCACTCTCAGCCCACAGCGCTGCCTTATTGCGACGATCCCCTTCTCCAAGAACTCAGAAGCACGACGGTCGGAGAAGTTGATGGCAATGATACTTCTCCCTGGCTCCGTCCACCAGGGAGGTTGTCGCGGTTCGCGACAACGTGGCCGGGGTCCCGTGCGCCGTGGGCTCTGGCGCGCTACACGGGCAAAGCCGCGACGCGACAGTGGAGCCTATATAAGGGCTGCCATGAGCCAGTCGGTGTGCTTCTCTCCCTCCGGGAGGAGAGATCCACCGGGCACCCGCTCTGCCGCCATGATGCCGGACGGTTGGCAGGGTGCTTGCACTCTGCACAGCAGTGTGGTCGGGCACACTGCTCCGTCTGGCGGAGCTCTGGCTCTGGCCCGTGCCTGCTATGACCCGAGGGCACGGCCGGCTGCGGGTTGCAGCTTATAGCCGCTTACCGCTAGGATTAACGCTGAACAAATGGAAGATGGATGGTCAATCCAGCTACGGCAGGATATAAGGACAGTTGGAAGATGGTTACCGCAAACACGTGAGTCAATAAATATGAAGTTTATTTATGTTGTAATGTTGCAATAGGTGGGAGTTGGGAGCGACCGGGCAGGTGGGCCCGTAAGGTGCTGGTTAGGCTTGGGAGGTTTTGGTCGGGTAAAGGTATAAGTTGTTGGCTGTTACATTTCTGTTGGTATTTCTGTGCTTGGTTATTGCATGCCTCAGAGGGGGGTAAAGTAGGCATGCCTTTAGACCGGTTACGGCAGGCTGTAACAGTGGTAGGGCCGGCCGACCCGGGGGTCCAGGACGGACATGGGGGAGGTCGGACCCACCACGGGGACATGCCTGTTCATGGGCTGCCGTCCCCTGCAGCCTGTCACGGGCTTAGGCCCGGGTGGTCCCTCGGGGAACCGAGGCTATATCGTGCGGGAAAGCGATATAGTCCCCGGGGAACTGTGAGACTGAGGTGGGCTGATGGTGTGTAAGCGGGACCCTTGAACACCGATGCTCGTCGTGGGAGAGGACTAGTAGGGCGGTCTCTCTCTGAACTGCGACAGAGGTTGTGGTGTCTCGATCGGTTGTCGAACATTTAATAAAGAGACGCTTGAGCGAGAACGCTTTCTCTTTCCCACAAAAATGAATTAGGGTGGAGTGTGATGTGTTTTCACTACCACAAGCATGACCTATCTGTGAGAATCCGAATCAATCCTGTTCTAGCCGACCATCATACCCCTTGGAGGCACATTCTGTGATAACCATTAGTCAAGAAGATATAACTGTTGTCGTCTCCGCCCATCTCTCTTCTACTCCATCAACGCGGAATGCGCCTTCAGGTTCAAGTGCTCGTCAGCATTTTCTACAAACGTCGAGAAACATATTGATTGAACGGTCACGAAATGATACTTTTGGGAAAGGGGTTTTTGCAAGAAAAGATTAACATATTCATCAGCTGCATCTCGCAAGTCTCATTTTCGCCAAACACAAAGCAGCATTACTACGGTTCCCAAGCACAGCTGCGTGCGCGACACATTTGAAAAAGGACATTACGATTTGTGTGAGCACCCTCATGAAGAGATGTGCGCTGTTTTGAGTGCACTCACCGGCTCCGAAGTCAAGCAGATTGAATAAAGCCGTGTAGCAAACAGCCGAGAAGAGTTTAGCAGGAATATGATGCTTCGGAGTAATCAGGACCTTAAACAAATGCAATAGTTCGAATTTGCGCAGTTCGCAGACGAAGTAAGCATTGCAATTATAAAAGTGAAAAACCTGAGGAGGACAAAGAAGAGCATCAATGTGATTTTCCATCATCAAGCTCACGACATCACCGCGATATTGTTCTATTTCAGCATATGTTTCGCGAAGTTCTGAAAAATTCACTGATCAGAGTACAGCATCGTTGGGAGAATCTTATCAGGGAGGGGGGGGCTCACACCTGGTCGCCGGGAAACGGTTGTACGTTTCTTTTAGAAGAATCTCTGAAACTCAATTTCCCTCCTTTTCCTCCCTGATGAGCACGGAAGGAGGAATATGCTTTTGCTCGGCTTCCGTCTAAGGGCACGTGCGAAACGGAAGCTGAGCTATCTCTTTGCTTTCGACCCCCCTCAATAATTCTCATTTATTAGATTTTACAACATAGTCCATTATTTTTCATTTTCACTGCTTTTTCTTCAGGTCGAATCAACTATTAGGTTGGAAGGGAAGTCCTGACCTCACAAATGTTCTTCCAGTGTGCACAAGGAAAGGAAAAGCTCAGTCACAGCTATCCTAGTGCGCTTTATCAGACTGGTCTAACTCATGAGGCATACTCCACAAAAATTTCCCTACAACCGAGATTGCGGAGAAGCATGGCAGTTGTCAGTTAGGTGGAGCCTAGAGAGGTTGCCAACTTACTGGTGGTTACGTTCGGCTGCGCCTCAAGAAGCTTGAGTAAACGGCCGTCATTCTGTGCTGGTGGCCGACCTATACATTGCCTACCTCCGAATTAAATAACTCCAGCTCTCAAGCGCTGATACAAACGGGACACTGTGGCATGGCGAGCGATGTCCTTCCTGAAGACAACGGAGGTGTTCACTTCCTCGATTACGGCGGAGTGCCATACAGGAAATAATATGGGATAGGTCAAAAACTACCTCGACCTCTGAGGGACTTTTGAGCTTCTAAAAGCTTCCACAAAGTCATGATATACCCATTTGCAGAAACCCCAGAGGACAGTCTCCACTAATCAGGGATGAAAACATTCAAAATGATTTTTGGTCTTTTTCTAGAACAATCCAATCAAGAGTGTCGCGAGTTTCTCCGTACAACCTATATATCCTGGTGCGAATGGCGCGCACGCGACCCCACAATGTGGATCATCTTCCCGTATTTTCAAAAACTCTGGACCTTCTCATCAGTCTCACCGTAACCACCATAGTGGCAGTCTCAGTTTAGCGAGTGCGCTAGATTCCCTTCTTGACTAGTTTTTTCGCAAAAACTCTTGAGAGACTATATAGAATGAGATTTTGCAACGCTGCAGAAAGGTCAGAGGTGGAGTTACCAACGGCGCCACTTCACCCATTTTGATGCTCTTCCCTGCGCTGAACGGCCTAACAGTAGTGTCCAACTTCCTCTTCGTAAAACCTCGGCATTGTTGTTACGTTTATAAGTTCTTCTGTGCACACGAGGTTGTAGGTGGAAACTTTATTATGGCCTGACGTTTCGACTAGATCGTCTTCATCAGAGGCCTAAACGTGGCTCATGGTTTGAAATTGCTCTCTCTACACCGCCAAAGATCTCCTCTTCCCTAACGTTTCTGACAGACTACTGAGAAAACCCCCGAAATCCCGAATGAGGGAAAGACTCACCCAGTCCACCACAGCGAGAGCGGGAGTAGCCGCTCAGTTAGTTGTTAGTACAATGAGTGGGACTTACTGTGCCAATCTTGTATAGTGACTATAGTCAGAAATGGCACGTCCCACCGCTCACACAGTAGCTCGCAGTGCGACACATATGGCAAGAGGTCATTTGTTATGGATAAGCACTCATTGCGGTTGTTCATTCTAGGATTTCTTGCAGAAATCCAGAATGCCTCTAGCGCTTTTCTGGCAGAAATCTCAGTCTCGCATGTCAGAATCGTGCACTTCACATCAAAGTCGTTTCCGCGGTGCTCCTCGATCAAATGCTTGCCGAGTGGTGTTCTTATATTACCACGCCTTTTGCCAGCAAGATGTTCTTTGACGCGTATTGCTAACGGTCTTCCAGTCTCCCCAATGTAGGTTGCGTTACATGCCAAACATTCAATTTGATAGATCACACCACTTTTGGCGCAATCTCCAATTGAACCTTGTGGACAAGTAACGCACTGTTCTGATATGCACTGCCTGTCGTAGAGTCTGTTTCGCACCAGTTGGCGTTTGATGTTATTAGGAATACTAACTAATACAACATCATTGTCCAACTGTGCGCGAAAAAGACATCTCTGAATCGCAGCAGTCACTCTATCAGATATGAATGGTATACATAGCGGGAGCTTGTTTTGGCGCGGTACGCGTCGGTGCTCAGTGTGAGTTCTTCTACGATTCACTGGTACAGGATAGCCATTTGAAGCGGCTATATCAGAAGCAAGCCGTACGGATTCTTGCCGTTCTGCTGCCCCTGTGCTCAGGTTTGCTTTGAACGTCAGGCCATAAAAGTTTCCATCTAACAATCTTGTGCACAGAAGATTTTATTAAGCTTAACACTGTCTAACCCCAACTCCGAAAGGTGTAAAAGTTTAATTAAAAATGCTTACCGAATGTGCTGAGGGTCATTGCCCTCATCATGTTTGCCATTCTAGGGAAGAATTTCTCTACTGGATAAGCCAGAAGTCGCTGTATCCAGATCGGTACCAAGAATATGAACATCTGGCCATAGAGAGAAGGATCAAGAATGTCCTGAAACAAAACTAAATTGTAGCTTTCCCGCCTATTTGAATATTTTGCATCCAGATCCAAAACGAACCTTTTTGATCACCCGGCAAAACTACAAATATTACAGTTTACAATCTGGTTGCAGAGAAGATATGAAGGGCTTACACTCGAGAGTTTACTGTACAGGAATTTGCCACCATCAACGCAGACCGCTCGAAGGTAATGTCGCATCATCTCGGGAACTTTGGGAGGTTGGAACGGCACCACCGTGTGACCGGTAGCTTCCAAATGGGCTTTTGCTTCCATTACTGCTCGCTGAAATGTCACTATTGCTTCTGTTCGTGTTCGTCACAAGTATTCTGGAAAGGAGTCCTAAGATTATTCAAGTACGTGCTTGAATTGGGGGTGGGCAGTTTCAGTTTTCTACAACTTACACTGGCAGTCAGTACATGTACCACTGGATTCACCAGGTTCTCTTACACTTTGGTTGTTCCGATTTTGTACCAGAGCCATTTTTGAGTAGCTGCACATGACTAAATGGAGGATGTGGCAGTACATCTGCCATCGGCATAGCAAATCACCTCCCAGAGTGCGGAGTTGACATAAAAAAGTAAATGAATGCGGCTTCACTGGGCGAAGCCGAAAGTTATCGAAGTTGAGCCGATCGTTACATAGGCTTGAAAAAGCTCATTATTGTCGGATTCCACGAAGCCGCAGTAGTGAACGCTCAGTTCACGCAGGCAAAATTAAATGTAATGCACGCCTCCTTGCCGGATATGAACAGCCAGAAAACATCACCCGACTGACTTTCACGCAATGGTTCAAGGTGCGAAGTACAACTTTATACAGACAGCATCACACAGTTCAAAAGGGGTAGAGGATCTCAATGGAAGCTATTTCCCCTCCTATTGCTCTAGAACTCAACTGAGCAGTGGCCAGTTTGAGTGGAAAAGTCTAAATCAGGACAATTGGCTGCCACTCTACATTTCAAACGTTATGAACCCATAAAGTGTCAAAAGTACTCACTTGTATCGCCGGTGCTGGGGTGAACCAGCCATCATCTATATAGTAACCGATACGGTATTTGTTGCCTTTGCGGTACATGTCATTGTTCCACACCACCGGTGGCACATAAGGATCGTTCTCTGTTATCCAGTTGTTGCTCCATACCTAAGTACCATAAATTACTTAAGATTCAGTATCGCATCACTATTCCCTGAATTCCCTGAGGAAAGTATTATAACGGTAGCTATTAGATACACTCCGATATAACCAGATGGGTGCAAGAAGGGATGGGGGCGAGGAGAAGAGTGGTCATCAACCATCCAGTAGCCTCCCCCCTCCTAAAACACGGCAGAGAATGGCGCGCACCAGACACTGACAATGACTGAAGCCCTTTTATTCTCCGATTACCGCGGAACGTTCCTTCGAGTTCGAGCGATTCATTATCTTCAAGCGTTTCCAATAAAAACCAATAAAATGGGCAAGGCAGTTGACGGCAGATCGGCGACGGAGGGTGTGGGCAAGAGAATCGTAAATTGTCGTCTTGTCGCGCGGGGCAATGAGTGAGACGTTCCCTTGCTCTGCACTGCCCTTTTTCGTGGAGACCGAAGTTTCATGTAGACGACGACAATATCGCCTAAAATCGTCGTCATTAGCGAACGCGATGTCGCACGCGACGCCCACTCGCGCGGCGAAATACGATTCTCCGGGGGCCTCTGCACCTTCGCTGCTTCACATGTTTCGTTTACAAGTTTCACTGTTGTGAAACTTGTCAAATCTTTTGAGCTAATGAAATTAATCTCAAACGCAGTTGGCATGATAAATCCTTAAGACGAGTAGGATCATTACGCCTGGCAGGATGGACTTCCGCTCCCCTGGGGAAGCGCTCCGTAGCGCTTTTTCCAAGGTACCCTTATGACGCAATATCAAGCTACAACATACTGACCCGGACGCCCACCGCGCCCGCCCGCCCACAAATGGACGACCGTACCCGATGCTCGTATTGCTTCATTACTTACCTGGATACATGGCTGCTCGTTTTCAGCCGGTTCTCTTCAGCGACGAGCACACGCTTCCCTCCATTGTTTATCTTGAGCGGTTTGGACCCAGTGTTGGTCTGCAGCTTCTTGGAGTTGCTTCAAGGAGTCTCTCCAACGGGTTGCAGGGCGGCCAGCCTTGCGCTTCGCGTCTCTCGGATACCAGAGTGTGATGCGAGTGGTCCACCGATCGTCCGTACGTCTGACCACATGTCCGGCCCATCTCTTCTTTGCATTCCACGCGTATACTACGGCATCAAGGATGCCTGACATTGAGCGCATGTCTGTACTGCGCAGATTGCGACATCTCTGCTCACGGCGGTTGATATTCAGCAGGGTCCGTTCCAATGCTCGTTGGGCACGTGTCAACATCAGCGTGGACGCCTTGTTCTCTGCCCACGTCTCGGATGCGTAACAAAGTGCAGGCAGTACTGTAGAGTCGAATAGAGCAGCTCGTATTTTCCTGTCCGAAATGAGCTCTTATGCGTCCCATTGCCGTCCATGCGCATTTTTTGCGTCTCATAATTTCTTCGCGCAAATTGTTGTCCATGGAAATGAGTCGACCAAGGAAACGTAACGGTAGCATCGCGTGGTTAAGTGCGACATCCGTAGAGCAGTGCCTTCGAGTGTGATGGGTGACGCATCTGCCCACTCGTTGCGCATGACCTCGGTCTTGCTCCGGTTCATCGTGAGGCCAATAGCTTTGCCGACGTTGTTCAGTTCCTCCACCATCCGCTGTAGCTCTGCTGAGTTTGACTGATAAGGACAATGTCGTCTGCGAATCGTAGGTTAGATAGCTTCTTTCCGTCGACGTTGATGCCTTTATCGTCCCAGTCGAGTTGCAGCATCGCGTGGTTGAGTGCGGTGGTGAACAGCTTGGGAGAGATCGTATCACCTTGTCTGACTCCTTTTTCGATCGGCACTCGTAGCTCTCGTTGAAAAATGCGGATGGTGGTAGATGTGTCCATGGTGCATTTTTCCAGCAGGTTTATGTAGCACGGGTCGACACCAGCATGGTGCAGCGCATTCCAAATAGAGTTCAGTTCCACACTGTCGAATGCTTTCGTATAGTCGATGAAGCAGAGGCAGGAGCGGCTGCTTGTATTCCTTGGTTCGCTCGATCAACTGCGTGACAGTATGGATGTGGTCCATGCAACAGAAGCCCTTGCGAAACCCGGCCTGTTCCACTGGTTGATATTCATCCAGTTGTTTCTCGAGCCTGTTGCTTCGTGAACAACTCGTATGGCTGCGAAAGGAGGGCGATGGGGCGGTACTGTTTCATTAGGTCGCGCTCGCCCTTCTTGAGCGGAAGAACCGTGCTTG